CCCAGCCTCAAGCTTTAAATTCTCTCTCTCTGCCTGTGACTTCCAAAGTTGTAACTCTAGCCCTGATCTTGTTCCTGACCTCCAGACTCAGGGATCCAACTGTCCCCTTGACAATTCCACTTGGATATCTAGTAGATGTCTCAATCTTGACATGTCCAATCATGAATTCTTAATTTTGTGCTGCAAACTTGCTCTTCCTGGAGCATTCCCCATGTCAGCAATAGCAGCTCCATCCATTCAGTTGCTTGAGTCAGAAACTTTAGCATCATCTTTGTCTTCTCCCTCCCTCCCCACATCCAATCCTTTGCAAACCCTGTTGGTTCTACCTTCAGTGTACATCCAGAATCCTGTATCCTGTATCTTCTCACCACCCACTGATCCAAGTCACCATCACCTCTTGCCCCGATGATTGCAGTTGCCTCCTGAGTAATCTCCCTACTTCCAACCTTGCCCTCCACAGTCCATTTTCAACATGGCGGCTAACAAACCATGTTTTTAAAATGTACATTGGATCACGTCACTCCTCTGCTCCCTGTCTCACTCACAGTACAACCACAAAGCTTTCAATGGCTACGAGGTCCTATGTGGTCCAGCTTCCAATACCTCTTCCGACTTCCTTGGACATTCTCCCCCGCATTTACTCCTCTCTTCAGCCAAACTGACATCCTTGCTATTCCTCAAACATAACAAACACAGTATGCCTCAGGACCTATGCACTTGCTGTTTCCTCTGCTTGGAACATTCTTCCTCTAGCTTAGTGCTTCTCTAAGTGTGGCCCTGGAACCGGTAGCATCAGTATCACCTTTGATAGTATCTTTGTTAAAAATGCAAACATTTCTAATAGCCCAGACCTACTGAGTCAGAAGCCCTGGGCAGGGGTTGGGGTGTGTGTATGTGGGTGGATAGGGGGCACCATCTGTGTTTTAACAAGTACTCCAATTAACTTGGATGCACAACAAAGTTTGAAAATCACTGTTTCACATAGCTCCTTGGTCCACTCCCTTGGTTCCTTCAGATTTTTCAAATGTCCTCTTATAAAAAGAAAGAACTTCCCTGAAATAGGACTCCCCCAGTATAACTCCCAACTCCCTTATTCTTCACAGCACTTACACCACAAGGTGTATTAGATATTGGCTTGTACATTTCTTTCCTGTCTCTCTTCCTGCCCTAGATGTAGGCTCCCTAAGAATTCCCAGTGCCTGGAATACTGCCTGGCACAGAGTAGGCACCCGATAAATATCTGGGCATGAATGGACCCCTTCAGTGCTCAGAAAGGAAACTGGGACTCAGAGAGGGACAGGGACTTTTCCAAGGTCGTGAAAGGAGCTGGGCCTCCTGACTGTCAGATACAGGATCCGCTTCGCTGCATTAGGCTCAGCGTGGCTGTGTGGCCCACCTCAGAAGCGTGGCTCATTGGAGGCCCCCCGGCACACTTCCCTTCCCTTTTAAGCTGTGAGTGGTTTAATTTGCGAACGCTGCTGCCTTTCATGTCCCAAGCTGCGTCCCCGCTCCCTCTGATCTCCAAAGCCACCCAGGTCCTAGTGCGGCTTGTCGGCCCCGCCCCCCTCAACCCAGATCAGGAGGCTCAGTAATTGTGACTGATTTTCAAAGCCGCCTGGAGTCTCCATAAGCACCCCGGTGTCAGATTCGCTTCCCCTTCAAAAAGTTGCTCAAATGAAATAAACTAATTTAATTTCAGTTTCCTCCCTCCCCCTCCTGGGTTCCCCTAGCTTGTCTGAGTTAAGTCCCCACTTTTTCCTGAGTGGAATGGTGAGTCAGTGGGCTGGGAGAGGGAGGTGGGGCAGGACTGGGGCTCCTTGGGAAGCTGGGGGCTGGCTCTGCCTCCTGCTCCCTGGGTGACCTTGAATGAGTCCTTGCCCTTTTCTCGGTCTCATTTTCCCCATGTATGACACGAGAACCTAGCCACTCCAACAGTCCGGGAGCCAAGCCCAACAACTTGCTCAGTCACTGACTCGCTACGTGACTGTCAGTACATCTCCCCGACCCAGAACCTTGGTGTTCCCATCTGTTCAACGAGGTTGCTCACATCAGTCCTGCCACCTCTCAGAGCTGAAGTGAGAATGAAGTGGTGATGGGCAAGTCACTGTGGTGGATATGGGGCTGCATCTCCCTCTGAACCCCTCATTCCCTTTCATTCTCTATCCTGCAGCAGAGGGAGATTTCTCAAAGGCAAGTCTGCTCACATTACCTTCTTGCCTAAGCCTTCCCCAAGTGCTTTCCTGAAGAATATAATTCCAGCTTTCTTCTCCAGCCTCATCTCTCTGGCCTTTACCATGTGGAAACATGCAGTTTTGGGTGAAGAGTTTGAGTTCAGTAGTGGGGGCTGCTGGACCTGGGAAGTCAGAGGCTTAAGTCACCTCTGACTTGCTGTGTGACCTTGTACCCATCACTGCTCCTCTGAGCCTCAGTTTTCCCACTTGCAAAATTGATTTCTAAGTACTCCCTGAGCTGTGAAAATCCATGGATCTTTGTTATGGACTATCTCCCAATTGATCTCTCCAGTTCAGACTTTCCTGCTGAACCTGGGTATTGAACTGCCTTTTTCAAGAACTCTACTTGGCTTTCTAATAAGTACTTCCAACTTAGCACATCTGAAATCAAACTCCTGATCTCCCTCCATCCCCCAGATCTGCTCCTCTCACTGTTTCTCCCATCTCAGTAAATGGAGATTCCACCTATTTAATTGCTCAGGTCAAAATCTCGGTAGCCATCCTGGAATTTTCTTTCTCTCACATCGCACGTCTAATCCATTAGCAAATGGTTTCAGTTTGACTTTCAAAATAGATCCAGAAGTCGACCGCTTTTCAGTCCCCTTACTGGTACCATCTTGTTCCGAGCCACCATCATTTCCTGCCTAGGTAATTGCAATATCCCTCTCAGTGGGCAATCTGCTTCTGCTCTGACCCTGTCCTCCCCACCTAATCTTCACAGAACAGCCACAGGATCATGTTAAAACTAAATCAGATCATGTCACTCTTCTGAACAAGCCCCTCCACTGACTTTTCAGCTTGCTCAGCATGAAATGCAAAACCCTGACTACGACCACCTTGCTGCATGATCTGGTCTGCTCAGAGGGGATTCAACTTTGGGGCCTTTGCATATACTGTTCCCACTGCCTGGAACCCTCTTCCTCCAGGGCCCATGCCCTCACTTTCTTCAAGTCTTTGTTTCAATGCCATCTTCCTAGACCCATGATCTGTTTGTTAACTTGCTTCCTGCCTGTCTTGCTTGGCCAGAATGTACCCTCCAGGAGAGCAGGGAGTCTGGTCTGTCTTCTCATTGCTGTGTCCCCAGTGCCTATGCATATTTGTTAAATGAATGAATGAATCCATTCAATAGACACACAGCATGTCACACGTACGCACAGGTCTTAAAGACTGTGCACATGCACATCTGTACATGCATGAGAATACATATGCACACCAGATACACGTGCACACCCCTGTGTGTGTGATCACCCCCGCCCACATTCACACCCTTGCCGTTCCCTCTTTTCCCACCATCCCTTTGTGCACACCATTTTCTCTGGTCCACTCCCTTCTCTTCCATTACTGGCTACCTGCCTGTTGCCCACCAATCTGCCAGATTTGGCCCAATCTGGGGTAGCTGGGGATGACTGCACTCTTCCCCAAGAACCCAAAAACCCTTGGCCCCTGACATGTAGCTGGAGAGCTGTAAGGCCAAGAGAGAGGCAGTGCCAAGCCCTTGGCCACCGTACATCAGCAAGGGAACATGTTCTAGGACCCCAGGCCACTGCTCCCCGTCCAGCCTGGCTGGCAGGTGACTCAGGCTAACGTTGTGGGGATGGAGATGGCGGCTACCAGTTTGTCCCTCACCCCATGACTCCAGCTCCTACTAAGAGCCCCAGGCTAAGTGGGCTTTGATGGTCAGTCAACTCCTGTGGGCCCCCCAGTGGGAGGGACAGATTCATCCAACCTTTCTTTTCAGGGTCCCACTGCTGTGTGAATGTGTTGCTGAGTATGGCTGCATCTGAGGTCTTCTTGCAGATGTGTTTTAGTGTGTGTCCTGCCTTTTCTACATGTACAACGTGTGTGTGCAGTGCCTCTGGGTGTTTGCGGACACATCCAGATACAGGCGGCTGAATCTGTCTGGGGACTTGCCACCTCTGTGAGCCTGTGTCCCCAGGTGGCTGGGTCTTGGTGTGCTGAGGCTTCCTGTGCACAGCAGATGAAGCTGTCTGGGTGTTACTGCATTGACTATGCCCATGCCTGTCTGCTCGACCTCAGGATGGTAGTAATGTCTGGTTGTGGCTTTTGCCTGTGTCTGTGGAGGTGGCTGTGTCTGTGCATAAGCTCTTTCTGTACCACCAGGCTGTCTCCTGGGTGGCACTGTCTGTGGCTATGTAGGGTAGGGGGCCATGTCTGACTGTGGGATGGGGCCTTGTTTCAGCTGTGTCCCTGGTTGATTCCGGTGGTAGGTGTGCCCGTGTTCAGCTATGCCTGCATTTATGTGGGGGTGGCGGCTGAAGGCCACGCTGTATCTGTGTGGAACTGAAGTCTGTTGGAGGGCCGGGTAAAGGTGGACAATCGTGCCTGTGTGTGTGACTGTCCAGTTGTTGCTGGTGCATGGAGCCATGCCTGAGTGGTGCCAGGGACAGGTGGACAGCTGAGTTTGTAAGTGGGGCTGGGCCTGTGTGACAACGTGTGGGGGTATGAGCATGTCCAAGTGTGTTGCTGTGTCCACATAGAGGTCCATGTCCATATTGGCACTGTGTCCATGTATGTGCCTGAGGTCATCTGTGTCCCTCTGTCCAGGTGGCAGCAGTGACTGCCCAGGACTATGTTGAGCCCATGTGGGCACCTGGGCTCACACCTGTAGCCTCTGCCCTGGGACAGCAGTTCCTGTCTCCCCTGTCCCTCCCCGAGGCAGGCTCCCCTCCCTTCTGCTGTTCTGCTGGCTCATCCCATTGCCCCCCTCCGCCTCCCCCTCAGAGCCACCAGAGCCCACAGGCAGCCCACCTGTGGGTGAGAGCTCGGCCACGCTGCCGATGTAGGGCCCGTGCAGGAAGCGGGGCTCGCTGTCATTGATGTCCTGCACCTTGATGATGAACTCTGACTCGGGCTCCAGCAGGCGGTTGGTGGCGCGGTCCCGAGCCTGAGCCCGCAGCGTGTAGAAGGTTTTCTGCTCCCGGTCCAGGCGCTCCATGGCGTGGATGTCGCCTGTCAGCTCATCGATCAGGAAGATGGTCCCAGCACCCTCGCCTGAGATGGTGTACTTGATGGCCCCGTCACCCTCGTCTGAGTCCGAGTGGATCTGCAGAGGCAGAGAGGAAGGCATCGTAGAGACTATGGTGGGAGCTCCTCTGGGCGTCCCCCACTTCAAGTCCCACGTCTCTTCTTTAACATACCCACTCTTCAGCGAAGACACTGAGGCTGGGAAGCTACGCATCACCCCAGTCCCAGGCCTCACTGACAGGTCTGGAGTGTTTCACCAGCCCTACCCCTGAAATCTACCTTCCCCTCTGCAGCCAGAGCAATCAGCCTGAGGCAGATCTGAACACATCCCCACCCCACTGCTTACAACTCTCAATGGTTCCCTGTTGCCCTTACAAAGAAGTCAAAGCCACCTCCACACCTCTTGGCTCCTGCTTTGAGGACCCTGTCTTTATCTCTCTGCCTCCTGAAAGTTTACTCATCCTGCAAGGCTCAGATCAAATGCTACCTCTTCCCTAAAGCTTTTCAGGATAACCCCCCGCCTCTGCCACCCCATTTCCCTCCAAAATCTTTGTAATACATCAAGCCACCATCATCGTGTTCAGCCTGTAGGATAACTGTAGCCATGCTTTTCAAACCTTAATGTGCATGTAAATAACCTCAAGTTCTTGTTAAAAAGCAGATTCTGACTCAGTAGGTCTGGGGTGGAGCCTCACAGTTTGCATTTCTAACAAACCTCCAAGATGCCGTCCAAGACCTCACTCTGAGTTACAGGTCCAAGCTCCCTAGGCCCAGAGCCCCCAGAGGTTAGGGCTGGGAACTTCTTACTCGTCTGCTACCCAGAGAGCCAGCCTCAGGGCTTGGCACATGGTGGGGACAGGGAGTCGAGGGACAGAGGAGGAAAGGGAACCCAAATTGGAGGAGCACCTAACACGCCAGGCATTGTACTAAGCAATTCACACACTTACCTGGTTCAGAGTTCTTTAAAAAGAAAATCCCTACTAGAGTAGGTTTTGCTATCTGTACTTTACAGATTTTTTTTTTCCATTTTCCTGCTGAGGATTAGAGAAGGAGGATGATTTGCTCAAGGTCAGACTGCTGGAGAAACTGGTCTCGTCCACAGCCTGGGCTTCCTCACTCTATCCCCAGCCCCTGGGGAGGAGCCTCTTGGTGGGGGGAGGGGGGAGAAACAGGACATCCTGGCCTAGCCTGGGTACCAGCATCATCTCCCTGTTGAGTCCTTGCACAAGTGGCTATACCTCTCTGGGCCTCAGTCCCCTCCTCTGTAACATGTGGAACATAATAGCACCTCGCTCCGAAAGGTGCTGTGGGGCTAATTGAGTGTAAAGCCCACATAAAGCCTTTAGCACCTGCTTGGTACAAGGTGACACTTACAATATGTAACAGCCAGCTTGGCAGAGGCACTGCCCATGGAGCGGTACCACAGCTCCTGCAGGGCCAGGCGGGGTGCCCTTCGGTTGCTGGATCACGGAGAGGTCGGAGGGGCTGAGGGAGTTGGAGCAAGGGAGAGGAGAGCGACTATTGACCGCAGGCAGGTAGGGAGCTTTTTCACTGTGTTAAGAACCACTACAACTACACTGGTAGCTACTAGCTGAAAATCAGCCCTGCCTAACACATAATAAGTGTCCCATAAATGGTAGTGATCGTTATTATTATATTATTACTAAATGTTAGCCATATATAACTGGGATTTAATCCAGGCACTGTTAAGCTCCAGAACCCAGGCTGTTTTCAGTGCACCAAGATCTCCTGGGCAAGGAACCAGCAGAAAGATTGTTCTCCCAAATAGAAACACCCAAGTCCTTATCCACCAATGCCCAAATCTCTGGGCAGCTCTCAGCAGAGGAAAACGCATTCTAATGAAACCGGTGACCTTGGGCGGGTCCCTGCTCCTCTCTAAGCTTCTGCAGAGATGGGATGTGAACAAGGACATCCCTAAAGCCCCTTTCAGGCCAGGACGCCATGCACCCCAGCCCACTCAAGTAGGATAACAGGTGCCAATGAGGTTGTCACGAAGGGGGATGAAAACCCACCCCCTGCCACGCAGGAGGAGCCTGGGTATAAATTCTGCTGGTGGAACTTTGTGTCTGAAAGGTGGATTATAGAAGTGCCATTTGGAAGATTGAATGGCCCATAAACATTTTCATATTTCATTAGCCGATTAATGGGCATCTCTCTCTTTTTGGCGAGTCTGCTGATTCTCAGCAGAAATTGCGGGGAGTAAATGGAGGCGTCGGGTGGAACCTTTCCGGGTCCCCGTTCTGTTATAGATTGCCCCAATTAATGCCCGTCCTGGGCTCCACCGAGAAGCCTTCTTCCTGTCCAGTTACTGTTAATAGATTTCTCATAAGTGGCTGGATTGTAAAAACCTCATAACTCAGTTTAATACCTCCAATAAAATTATCTCAAGACATCAGCCCTGAATCATTGGCAGTGCTGAGGATGAGGAGACCTGTCTCTCCTGTTGGCTGTTTGCACTTTTCTTCCACCTTTACCCAGGGGAGATGGGGATAGGAGAGGGTAAATTTGTTCCCTCTTAGGATGCCTCCACCCACTTCCTAGTCAGACCTGTGGCCGGCTTATTTCATCAGCAAACATTCCTGAGCAGTGTGGTGGAAGAGACACCATTCGGGGGAAGGTTTAACAGCTATCATCTTATTTGTCTTCCTCACTGTCATATGAAACATCATTATTCTTCCCATTTCTCAGATGAGAAGAATGAGGCCCAGAGAGGAGAGGTCATTTGCTTTGACACCCAGCTAAGTGCGAGAAGCCAGTCTCCTGACCTCATCGCTCACTAATGTTGTGATCGTGGGCTTGTTCATTTGACCCCTCTGGGTCCGTTTTTCCATCTGAGAAATCAAAGCAGGTCCTACCTAGCATGGTGAGGAGGTGGTAAGGATGCGGTGTCATGAGGATGAAACACGAGCATGTTTGTATGGCCTGAACACTCTGGAAGCAGTTGTCTCCTCTTTCTGTCTCCTGGGTCTCCAGCATGTCCCTGAAGCCAGCCATTGATATTTTATCTCAGACCTGGGCCAGGGATCACTTGCCAGTGAGGAGGGGGAAGGAGAGAGTGGAACCTAGTGGTGATGTCATTGATGGTCTTCCGTGAAACATGACACAGAGCTCACGCTGGGGCCCAGGGACTATTCTCTGGGGACTGCACAGTCAGACAGGGCTGGTCAGCCCAGGGAGGAGCTAAGAGCTTGGAGCTGCAGATTTGGGCTGGGCTGGGGCTGCCTTGCCTGCCTGCCTGAGTGGCTGGCTCTGGAATGGAGCGGAAGTGCCTATGACTCTACCCCAGAAGGGTATTTTCAAGACTCTCAGTTGTGAGCTGGGGGCTGGTGAGTGCCTACTATGTGCCAGTTGTGTTGCAAGCCTCTGCAGAAATCTAAGTTAACCTTGTGGTATATGTAAATGTCTTCCCATTTTCCAGGTGAAGAGACTGAGAAGGACTGAGGTGTTTGACTCCAAAGCCCAGGTTGGTCCCTCTGCAGCCTCTGGAATCTGTTTAGTCCGCTTACAATGTTTCTGGCTAAGGAAGAGGGAGAAAGGCGGAGGGAGTGCGCTGCAGGGCAGCCACTGGGCTGCATGGCTGGGGAAGAGGCCCGCACCACCCTGTACACGCAGGCCATAGTCATCGGCAGCCTCTTCAATCTGAGCCTCTATTTCATCATTTGGAAAAGGATTTCAAATCACTCATCAAGAGAGGGGGTGGGCTTTGGATTCAGGAACGGCTGGGTGCCAGTGTCAGCAAGACGTTACGCTCCTCTGAGCCTCAGTTTTCTCATCTATAAATGAGACTGATGTTGCTTCCCCACAGATTCCAAAGATTCATCAGATAACATGTGGGAGCTCCTCACACACAGTAAGTGCTCAGCGCTGATGAGCTTCACTTCCTTTTTCATCACCTGGTCTCAGGAAGGACTGAGGGTCACCTAGTTCATCCCTCCACCCCATCTGACACAAGAACCCCAGGCTCAAATCCCAACACACTAGAGACACAGGGGCCATCATGCAAGATCTTCTTGTCTTTTAAACTCATCTTGTTTCTTCATTCAGGCAGCCTTCCCAATGCCCTCCTATTTGCCCTCCCCCTGCTCTGTACCCTTGCCCCATGCACACTCCCCTCTGCTCCACACTCCTCTGTAACACCTGTGTGTTGCAGTCCATCTGACCAGCTGCCATGGCCTCAGGGCCTTTGGTTTGTCTTTGTCTGAACTCCCCACGCCTGGCCCACACTCGGTGTCCTGACAATGCGTGCAGAGAAAATACAGGGGGAGTGGGAGAGGTGAGTGTGTGTGTATGTGAGCACACATATGTGAGATTGTGAGCTCCCTGAGGATCAAGCATACATCCGTTCGTTTCTAAAGCACCCAGTACAGGTCACAGCACCAAACATTTGACTAAAGGAATAATGAAATATACAACTGTCATTAGAATTCCCCAGCTGTCTTTGGGGATTTCTGGATGATCCAGTCCCTCTGTTAAATCTCGGATACACAAGAGGCTAGGAAGGAGACTCATGGGGCACTTCTAGACCCTCTACCGCTACCTCCTTGATATCCCATAGTGATCTTGTGACTCAGAGATGATGCTCTTCCCATTGTATAGATTGGCAAACTGTGGCTCAGCGAGTGCACACATCCTACTGAAAGCCACACAGCTGACAAAAGACAGCCCGAGGCTTGTCTGACTCCATATCGTGAGCTCCTTCTTCTGCCTCAAGTGCCGACAGCCCCAGAGTGAATTCCCCCTCCCAAAGCCCCAGCCCTGGATCATAAACAACGTGGAAAACACAAGAGTGATGGCTTCTCATCCCGGGGGGCTGAAAAATGGGATTTATGAGGCCATTAATTACTTCCTTCTAATTACATCAAAATTAAGTGCGAACAGAGGTACGTTTTCCTTATTAAAGACAATTAAACGGACAGTGCGGCTACGCAAATAAAACGAGTCCAGGATTTAAACGGAAAGCAAATCAAATAAAAAGCCTCCCCCGGAATGAGGGGGTCTGTTCATGCCTGTGCTCCTCGTAAACCAGGAGTTCATCAATTTTCTTTAAATATTAGCAACTTAATTAAATCTGCTCTCCTCCCCACTTTAATCCTGCCGTATATCTAAAATAGATCTCACCGCCCACAGGAGTTGGTCCTAAGTGCTGACCCCATAATTCTCTCTTTTAAAAAAAAAATTAAAAAATCCTACAAAATCCACATCCAGCTGACAGAAGCCTCGGGGGAAATTACAGTTTGGAAAAGAGATTAGTCTAAGTACCCAGATTGTATGGAAATGTTGGGAGGTTGCTTTGAGGGTGGGTGTTGTGAGGTGAAGGGAAGAGGTGGGTCGGGCTGCCAAGGGGGGCAGGACAGTAGAGGGAGCCGTCGGTGTGGGGCCCTGGCGACAACCACAGGGGGCCCAGTGGTTCCCGCAGGTGCCGACAGGAACCTGGTGGTGAGTGATAGAGGAGGCGGTTGTAAAATAGGTTACTGTTGGGCGCCCGGGGTTCACTGGCGGATGGTGCTGTTGCTAAGCTACCTTTGGAATTCGACAAGGACGGATGCTCCGAGCGGCTCGCTGGGGCGGGGGACGGGGAAGCAATGAATTAACTGAAACCGTGGAGAAGTCCTTTCTCCCTGAAGAGCCAGAGAGCGTGGTATGAGTGAGTGTGTGTATGTGTGTGTGTGTGTGTGTGTGTGTGTATGCTGGCATGTGTGCACCCACAACCACTTGTACAAATGTGGGACTCAGCTGGAAAGGGACAGGTTGTTTTCAAGAGGCGGAGCTCATATTCCTAGAGCGAAGGGTGGGCTGGCAACCACCTCCTCCCACTTTGTAGTGAGAAACTGGGACATCAGGTTGCCAAGAAGGCTTTTGGGATTTGGGGCCGGGGTTCATCATATCTGTGTATACTCGAGGTGGTGGAAATATCAGGCAACACCTATTATAACAGAAGATGATACTTACTGAGCACATACCAGGAGCTGTCCAGGTTCCTGACACACACTAACTCACTGAATCCTCACCACAACTCTTTGAGGAGGTGCCAGAACGGCCTCGCTCAGCAGACAAGGAAACTGAGGCACAGAGGTTAAATAACGTGCCAAGGTCAGAGAGGGACTAAGCAGCATGGATTTGAGCCCTGGCAACCTGGCTCCGGTTGGCCCCCAGCATGACACACTCTACCATCTTTCGTAAGAAAGGGCGCTTTGGGCAAATTTTAAATAGAGATGGAAACTTCTCTTTCCTCCCTGCATGGAGTGCTTTTCTGGACGTGGCCTTGAGAGTAAGAGAGGAGGGCTCTGGGTGAAGATGACGGAGGGGGAAGATAATGTAGTCACGACAGCAGTGGAGATGCTGCAAGAGGTTGTCGTGAAGAGGAGAATAGAGACCCCCGAGGCCAGGCACAACGCTTGGCTCATAGAAGACGCTTAATACAAGACAGCTAAACTGCACTGGGTCCAGAGCCAGTGTCAGCAGAGCCTCTTCTCTTGGGGTTGGTTCTACCACAGTGTTAGTCTCACCCCATCTCTGCTAATCAAAACTCCCTAGAAAGCTGACTGGCCTTGGCATGATGTTCTCTGTCTCTAGCCTCAGTTTACATCTTACAATGAAGGGATTTACTAGGGCCCTCCCATCACCAACAGACTGTGGTTCAAGGAGACAGGGGTGGCGTTTAAGATAACGGCTAGGCGGACACAGATGGAAGTGGTGAGTCAGCGGCTGGTTTCTCGTATCTTTCCAGGATGTGGGTGGCTGAGGGGGCCATCTCAGAGCCCCAGCTGCTGGGCAGACAGCCAGCTGGGCTGAGATGCCTGCGACCATGACAGCGGACATTTAGGCAGATGTGTCAGAGTCCTTCGTCGACTTTCTGGGGTTTTCTTGGACCAAAGTCTCTCTTCCAGGCCTGGAGGTCTTGGAGAGGTTTGGAGAATCAGGCTGGGAATAGCCTCCAACACACTCAAGTTCAAATCCTGGCTAAGCCACTTGCCCACTCTGTGACTCTGCCCTACCTGCACCTGGAGTTTCCTGCCTTACAAAAAAGATTTCCACCTTGCAGTTTAAGGGTTAAGTGCTCCATATGGGCATAATGAGAAAACAACCATAAACAACCAACCAGGCGGCAGGCTGAACACTTTCTGTGCTCAGATTTCTACTTTAATCCTTTTACAACCAGAGGAAGTGGGCTCTCCTGGCCCCACTTTCGCAGAAGAGACTGAGGTCCAGAGAGGGGATGTAACTTGTGTAAGGTAATATGGTTAACGGGTTGGCAGAACCAAGCCTCAAACTCAGGTGTGACGGCTCCAAAGTCTGCATTCCTAGCTACCTCATGCTCAGCTGACACTGGTTCCTCCTTCCCCCTCCCCTCACCCCATTCCACTGTCTTACTGTCTTACTCTCCTAGGGTCTGCCACTAGTTTGCTTGGTGACCTTGAGCAAAGACGTGAACCTCCCTGTACTCAGTCAAATCCTCGCTTTGCTCAGTTTTGGGGATCAACTTCAGCCACGTGTCCAGAGGGGAGTGTAGCCAAGGACCAGGGATTACTGTATCTAGACAGGTGAAAATCTGGGTTCCTGGCAAGACTAACGCACAAGTTTACATCAAGACTTTCCTCTCCTTGTCAAAGGTCCTGAGCCTTGAGCCTTGAACTGAGCAGCTTGGTCAGCCTCCCAATTCTCAGACTCATTTAAGCACACAGGAAATTCCACAGTTGGTCTCCCTCACATCTCTGCTGACCAAAACTTCCTGGAAAGCTGGCCTCAGCAGAAGCCAGAGAACTGTCCCTGGGCACTGCCCAGCTTTCCTTGCCCTATAAGCACCCTCCACCTCAACATTGTAACTTCTGACAAGTCTCTGAATAAGCCAGGCTCCCTCAGGCCTCCAAGTCTTTGCACAGTCTATGCCCTCTTCCCCATTAGCCTGAACTCCTACTCAAACATCAAAACCCAGCTCAGGCATTTAGAAAACGCTTCCACAAAGCCAGGCAACAGAAAACCAGTTATGAAATGCCTCGGTGTCCAGGTACTGACCTGTGAAACTTTTTATGCACCAGGGTATCTCTGCTACTCCGGGGACCCCCCAAATGGCAGAGGCTGGTTCTCACTTGCCTCTGTGAGTGGGCAAGTGAGACCCAGCCTCTGCCTCTCCAGCACTGCACCTGACAGGGGCTCAGGGATTGAATGGATGAACGAATGTCTTTCTCCACTCCTTATACTCTTAGGGCACAATTCTTCAGCCGTACTAACTAACATTTATTCAGAGAGTTTGAGAAAGCAGCTTTCATTCATTCATTCACTTAATGAACAGTTTGTGAGCAATGCCTGTGCTAGGCGCTGGGGGTTTATGGTGAGCAAAACAAACACAATCTACTAGGAAAGACACACATTAACTGCGTAATCAAACAAACACATGCACAATTAAGTGTTATGAGGGAAAGATACGGGGACCTCGGAGGGCACACAACAGAGAGGGATGGCCGCATGCAGGAGGATCTGTCCCAGCCTGGTGTGGTCAGGGACAGCTTCTCTGAGGAGGTAGCATTTGAATGGAGGCCTGAGTGTGAGATACATAAGCAGTAGAAGGAGCAGGACTGAGCAGTTCCTGAAGAATCTAAGGAGGGGGGTGGTGCTGACAGGAGCCTGTGGGCATCAGAGGAATGGACCATCAGAAGGGCATCAGAAGGGTGTTGTGTCCCAAATGGGAGTGAGTATGGCAGGCGTGGAGGCTGGAGGGGGAGCCGAATTTTTGCAGGCAATGGGATGGAATCTGGGCTTGACCCCAAGTGAATGGAAACTATTAAAGAATTTTAAGCAGAGCAGGGCGAGTTTGTGTATGACATGATCAGATCTGCAAACTCGTTCTAGATGCATCTAGCTACAAGACGGACCGGGTTTACTTATGAGTACTCTCTACTCTGAGATGCAATGGGAGAGAGACTACATAAGGAGGCGGGAGCAGAGAGAAGACCCAGTTGTCCGCCTCCGATCAGGGGCAGCTGGGAGGAGGCAGCAGGAACTGGGATTTAGTGGGGAGGGGAACTGGAGTCCCTCGCGTCCGGCAGCGGGCGTCTCTGGGGTCCTGGGAGCAGGACAGAGGGTTCGGGGCCCCACTTTACCTTGCCCACGTACAGGGGCTCGGTGCCCGTGTACTCCTCCACCACGAAGAACTGGTTCCACACCCAGCCGCGCTTCACGCGGCCCGCGCCC